GGTCATGTCTTTGGTCTTGTGCAGCCATTATCAATCGCTCTCGAGCTCCACTTTGCCCATATTGACACCTGGGCGTCGTCAGCAATGGCGGTGTCCATGCTTGTGTCTTTGGCTACCGTATCTGCTGCTTTGGCAGGCTCCGTCAGCACTCTCCAGGAGAGCAAGGGATCATGTGCTCTGCAGACGAAGATGAAGAAGGATGGGGCAGCGAAATTCATTACGTGCACTTCGGATGAGATCATGTGCCATGATCCAGCCACGATGACCGACAGCTGTCATCCGATGAGCGCTGGCTGCCCAGTCACATGCCCTGCAGGTGAGCACGTGTGTCATACGCCAGGGTCATGCGACGGCTGCTCTGGCTACAACTGGTGCTCCTCCCACACGTGCCCAGTGTACTGTGCAGCGGACGAAGTCGTGTGTCACGATTCCGCAACCATGACAGACAGCTGCCACCCCGCAAGCACAGGCTGCCCCATCACGTGTCCAGCAGGTGACCAGGTGTGCCACGCTCCACCATCGTGTCCCACTTGTCATGATGGCCACAGCTTTTGTTCGCCGAGTTGCCCAGTCTATTGTGCCCCAGGTGAGCTCATGTGTCATGATCCAGCCACGATGACCGACAGCTGTCATCCGATGAGCGCTGGCTGCCCGGTCACATGCCCCGCAGGTGAGCACGTGTGTCACATGCCGGGGTCATGCGATGGCTGCTCTGGCTCCAACTGGTGCTCCTCCCACACTTGCCCAGTGTACTGCGCAGTGGACGAGGTGGTGTGCCACGATTCCGCAACTATGACGGACAGCTGCCACCCCGCAAGCACAGGCTGCCCCATCACGTGTCCAGCAGGTGACCAGGTGTGCCACGCGCCACCATCGTGTCCCACTTGCAACGATGGCCACAGCTTTTGTTCGCCAAGTTGCCCAGTCTATTGTGCGCCAGACGAGTTCCTGTGCCATGATCCAGCCACAATGACCGACAGCTGCCATCCGATGAGTGCTGGCTGCCCAGTCACATGCCCTGCAGGTGAGCACGTGTGTCACACGCCGCCGTCATGCGACAGCTGCTCTGGCTCCAACTGGTGCTCCTCCCACGCTTGCCCAGTGTACTGTGCAGCGGACGAGGTGGTGTGCCACGATTCCGCAACTATGACGGACAGCTGCCACCCCGCAAGCACAGGTTGCCCTATCACGTGTCCAGCAGGTGAGCAAGTGTGCCACGCTCCACCGTCATGTCCCACTTGTCATGATGGCTACAGCTTCTGTTCCTTCAGTTGCCCGGTCTATTGCGCCCCAGATGAGCTCGTGTGCCATGATGCAACCACGATGACCGACAGCTGTCACCCGATGAGCGCTGGCTGCCCAGTCACATGCCCCGCAGGTGAGCACGTGTGTCATATGCCGGGGTCATGTGACGGCTGCCCTGGCTCCAACTGGTGCTCCTCCTACACTTGCCCTGTGTACTGTGCTGCGGACGAAGTCGTGTGTCACGATTCCGCAACCATGACAGACAGCTGCCACCCCGCAAGCACAGGCTGCCCCATCACATGTCCAGCAGGCGACCAGGTGTGCCACTCACCACCATCGTGCCCCACTTGTCACGATGGCTACAGCTTCTGTTCCCCGAGTTGCCCAGTCTATTGTGCCCCAGATGAGCTCATGTGCCATGATCCAGCCACGATGACCGACAGCTGTCATCCGATGAGCGCTGGCTGCCCAGTCACATGCCCCGCAGGTGAGCACGTGTGTCATATGCCGGGGCCATGCGAAGGCTGCTCTGGCTCCAACTGGTGCTCCTCCTACACTTGCCCCGTGTACTGTGCAGCGGACGAAGTGATCTGCCACGATTCCACAACCATGACGGACAGTTGCCATCCGAAGAGCGCTGGCTGCCCTGTCACATGCCCTGGAGGTGAACACGTTTGTCACAGCCCGCCGACATGCGAGGGCTGTGATGGCTACAATTGGTGCTCCTCCTACACGTGCCCTGTCACATGTGGCATTGATGAAATCGTCTGCCACGATCCCACAACCATGACAGACAGCTGCCATCCTTCAAGTGGGGGCTGCCCGTGACGTGTGCTGCCCCCGAGCACCATGGCCGCAGTCCGTGAACGGTGAGTACTACTGATCCGGGCTGCTGGCCGGTAGCGTGTTTAAACTCTTGCCAGCAGGGTTCCCGCTGTGTGCATCGTCGTAGCTTTCGCAGTGGATGTCGTTCTGCTGTGGAAAACAGACCTGCAGGTAGTTCTGTTCCAGCCAGTCCAATTACATGCTGGTGAGCTCGGGCTTCTATCCGCCTGCATGATTTAGATACTGAACCGAGCGCATCATGTTCTTGCAGGTCAGCCCCATCAACGCGGCCAGCTACCGGGCCTAAACTGGCACAGGTCGTCGGCTGCACTGACCCGCAGATGCCAGAGTCTTGGAAACTAGGTTCCATAATGAGCATGGGCTTCAGGCTAGCACAGAGCTTTGATTGCAAATGGAGCCCTGTGCACACTCGTCGAGACCAGGTCCTTTCTCGTGGTCCTAGCATCGTGGTGTCAGCAGGCAGGCTGCCAGAGTGAAGGGGCGCGGAGTTCAAAGAGCGAAGCTGAGCCACTCTGAGCGCAGCCTCCCTAACGAGGATCTGCCCATACCCTAAGTTTCTGCTCGATATTATCATAAGCAACAGCACCACCACGATGATGCACATGCGATGGCGAGTGCTAGCCGCTTGTTCCGCCCTAAACCTTAAGCAAAGTCACTGGGATGATCAGTGGGATCTATTTCGGGATCTCGGAAGGTCTAATCCGTGCCGCACGGTGCTCCTCCCAGAGTGCCGTTGGAGGGCTCGGAACTTTGAGCCTCCTGGATGTATTAGGGCTTCTGTGAACCCGAAACCCTGAACCCTAAACCCGACACCCTAAACCCGAAACCCTAAACCCTAAAGCCGAAACGCCAGGATCCACTGCCCCGGCGCCTCCGAGCCGCTTGTGCCCTCCCGTGGCTGCTCCAAGCTCCCTGCCTTGGGCTTACAGTGGGGCTAAAGGCTGTTTTGAGGGTTTAGGAGCTTAGGGTTTAGGTTTTCAGTAACAAGGGCCTTTTTAATCCTAAACCCTAACTAAACCCTAAACTTTTTTTGTTCTAGGCTTTGGGGTTTCAGTAAAAAGGGCCTGTAACCTTAACCCTAAACCGGAAATCCTTGGAGCATGGCTAGACAGGTGGCAAAAACAAAACCCTTACCCTTACCCCCCCCCTCCCCGAAAAAAACTAAAGTTAAGGGATGCCTAGGGATTGGGGGTTTAGGGTTAGGGTTTAGGGTTCAGGGTTTAGGGTTTAGGGGGCTGGTGTTTCCTTGGGAGGTGCCAACTTTCGCCGCGGGCAGTTGCTTTGCTCGATGCGACGCTTGGAGACCAGAAGAGATGGAGGGAGGATGCCTCATGCACCCACTGTAAGGTGGGGCTGAGAAGGATGGGGTCCCCTAAGCCCTAAACCCTAAACCCTAAACCCTACACCCTAAACCCTAAACCCTAAACCCTAATAAACCCTGGGGTTTAGGGTGAAACTGGAGGCTTGGGGTCTTGGGGGCTTGGGGTAGAGAGCTTCTCCGATCGAAACACGACTTCCCAAGGACCTGATGCCGCAGACTACGCCACAGACTATGCCGGTGATGCCGAACTCTGGGGAGGACGATCACCTTCTGATCCCCGACAGAATCGAGGACGGCACGATGCAACGTGCGCACGCAGGAGCGGCCAACGGCACCGGGCTTCGTAGGCCGCGATTCTGAGAGTGTGAGCTGCGGAGTAATCCGATACGTGTACAAAAGCATTGCCAATGTTAGATTTGATTACGTTTGATATTGAGAGATATGGGGTGCCTGACGTCGCCCTTGCCTTTCTTGCCCATCTACCTTTCGTGAAGGGGTTAAGACTCATAGCCCTAAGGTTGTTCACCTAAAGGTTCCCCCGAATCTATCCTTAATGCGGCCCTTATACTGCCTTAAGGAACTTTAAAACGGATCCACCAAAGAATCAAGGGTACAAGCTAAAGGGTCCACGGTACAACCACCTGGTTCCGCAAGCCCAGGATCGAGAAAGGCGGGTTTAGAGTTTAGAGTTTAGGGTTTAGGGTTTAGGGTTTAGGGCAGTTTAGGGTTTAGGGTTTAGGGCTGTGTGCCCGACCTATACTTCGCCCTTTCGAAGCCCTCAACCCTGGCCCAGATTTGTCCCACCTTTACAGCCGAAGCACCCTCCGAAATGCTAGGGTTAGTTTCGGGTTTAGGGTTTGGGGTTTAGGGTTTAGGGTTTAGGGTCTGTGTCTCTGATGAATCGAGAGGCAGCTTGTTTTGGTGCCTGCGAGACAAAAGAGCATTCCGGGGATGCGCTTCTCGCAGCCCCTGCAGTGAGGGGAAGAGCAATCATGTTTAGGGTTTAGGGTTTAGGGTTTAGGGTTTAGGGTTTAGGGAGGGCTACCCTACTTCCCCAAAGAGCTCAATACCCCTTAATTCGGGCATATACCTCAAATCATACGAAGGGTCCCTGTATAGTTTAAAGTATGTTTCTCAATTAAGGGGTCTCGGGGAGGGACCCTTATGGGTGACCTTCTGGGTCATTTAGGGCTAACTTAGGACCGTTTATGGGGGGAATGAGATGAAGGGTCCCTTCGGGTCCCTCCTTACACCCCTTAAATCATGCCACCCCACTTCTGTGGTGGCCCTGTGGTACGCTTTTTGGTTTAGGGTTTAGGGTTTAGGGTTTAGGGTTTAGGGTTTAGGGTTTAGGGTAACCAACCTAAAAAGGGTACCCTTATTGTAGCATGAGTACGGTACTGGGCTACGCTACTTGGAAGCCCTGTTGACTTAGTACGTCGGGTGGGTAATGTGGGTTATGGGGATAATCATAGGATGTCAGGGTAAGTTTAAGTAGAAACCCTAAACCCTAAACCCTAAAAACCCTAAACCCTATAAACCCTAAAGCCCTAAACCCTATAAACCCTAAACCCTAAAGCGCTGGGAGGCTGGCTTCTCCATGGCTGCGGACATCTGGGCCGTGGGCGTTACAGCTTTTGAGCTTCTGGCAGGTCAGGGGGCCTAAGCTTGGCGGTCGGGTTTTGGGGTTTGGGGTGGTTTAGGGTTCATTTAGGGTGCAGGGTTTAGGGTTTAGGGTTTGGGCATAGAGCTTGGGCATTCAAGGGTTGATATTGTTGATACTGTTGATAAAGGAACATCCTGTCATTCTTTTCTACCTCGGGACATCCCTTCCAAACCCTGAATCTTAATCTTGGTTTCCTAACAGACGTGCAAAAGGCATGTGTGCGAATGAGCGAAATCCTGCTTCAGTCATGCGTGTTATCAACATTGTTTTTTTGGAAACAGGTTCAAAAGGCACCTGCGCGAATGCTCGTAATCATTGCATGAGCCATGCGCATTTAAATAGACCCTAAACCCTCAACCGTGGTGAGCTATATATGTTGCAGTATGAGCCCGGATGCAAAAAGTGGTTTACGAGTATGGCAACTACTTCTAACCCTATTTTCGGGTACATATAACCCTACATTCAACTACCCATGAACCTCCAAGTAGCATTAGAGATTCCGCAATACTTATAGGGGGGGGGGGTAGGAGGATGGTTGTTCAGGAAGGGGGGATTCTCATCCAACAAAGCCCAGCAGCCCCTTTTGAGAAGTAACCGATACACATAATATGTATACACATATAGAAACATGTACCTCTACCCTAAACCCTAAACGAGAAAGGGGTCCTTGTTAAGAATTTCTTAAGGGGTACGGTGCTCTCAGGGATAAGGGGCCCCCGGCTGGGTCCTCCGAATTAAATTGTTCAACCCCAACCCTTGGCAATGAGGGTTTAGGGTTTGGGGTTTAGGGTTATATGTTGTTTTATGATGGGTATTGGACTCTTCGGGTCTACATCCCCATCCCGCAACCTGTCTGACGCGGGATTGAGTGTTCACATGACGATGAAAAAGAGTTGTCGACTGTAGCTCAGCTGGTGGCCAATACTCGTGCTCATGGTAACCCCCCCCTTTGGGGCTTCTGAATTGGGTTCGGAGGAGTCTACAACTCAGGTGTCTGATTTTTTTCGCTGAATTCGATCGCAAAAAAACAAACCCTAAACCCTACACCCTAAACCCGAAACCCTAAACCCTAAACCCTACCCTAAACCCTAAACCTTGCAGCCGAGGCACTTCGCCTTTTGGCAAACTCCAGGTGGGGCAAACGCAGTCCTTGAGTTCAACTTTAGGGTTTGGGGTTTAGGGTTTCGGGTTTGGGGTTTAGGGTTTAGGGTTTTAGGGTTTGGGGTTTAGGGTTTGGGGTTTTTCTGTTTGCTGCGCACCCGGGCATTTGTTTTTGGTTCCGGGTTTGGGGATGAGGGCGTCATGCATCTTTTTTTTGTGGAGAGCCCAGACAAGAACCCTGCACCCAGAAATCCTTCAAGCCCCGCCCAGCCTGAAAACCGTATACCCGGCGGCATACCCAAAGAGCCCAATACCTCTTAACTGAGGAATATACCTTGAATCATACGAATTTTAACGTACATTCATTAATCAAGGGGTGTTGGTAATCAAGGAATACAGCTTACACTACGTAGGGGTTCTTCTGACGAGCAAAAGGCATTGATTCATGAAGAGGCGCAGGGTACCTACTCTACTAAGCCTACACTCCAAACAAGACCCCTAGCCCCCACCCCAAACCCCTAAACCCTAGCCCCCAAAACCCGGGTTCCTAAACCCTAAACCTCTGAGCCTAATCCCCTAAACCCCTAAACTGTTAGAGGGTATTAATGACAGAACCTAAGGGGGTTTAGGGTTTAGGGCCGGGTTTAGGTTAAGGGGGTCCTTGGGGCTCTCTGGGGAGGAGTACGGCAACGAGTGCGACCCAATCCTGGAGAAGCTCTGTACGTACGAGAGCTTTGACGAGGAGACCGTGGGCGCTTTCGCCTAAACCCTAAACCCTAAACCCTAAACCCTAAACCCTAAACCCTAAACCCTAAACCCTAAACCCTAAACCCTAAACCCTAAACTTGCTTCAGAGTTCATCCTAAAACCCTAAGTGGATTTAGGTTTTTGGGGTTTAGAGGTCCTGCTGGGCAGTCAGCCGAAGTATCTAATGATAAAACTTATAAAGCCCTTTAAGCTTCAGACCCTGCGTAAAGAATGAAAAGCCGTTGGAAGTATATTGTTGTGTCAGAAGTCTCCTCTTTCTTCTTTCCGCCTGTACGGCACCCTACTTCCATTATCGAAACCCTAAGCCCTGGACCCTAAGCTTTGCCAGCCCCGTGAGAGTGAGAGTCCAAACCCTGAACCCAAAGCCCCCATAAGCCCCAAGCTTTATGACACCCTACGAAGGTCCTGTTCGACCCTGCGTCGTGAATCGCATGAAGTCCTTTCGAGTTTGTTAGGAGCTTATGACCCCTTGGTTGTTAGTAGGGACTGAGGGAATGAGAAAATGATGTCCCTATATATACTTTTAATTCATTGCATAGGGTGCCTCGTTCCCTCATTCCCTTCCAAGAACCCGCCAGATGAAGGAAACCCTAACCCTAACCCTAAACCAAACGGACGACGATTCCTCAAACGGCCGACCGCGAGCTCGCGAACCCTCTAAACGTCCGTTTTACACGAGGTATTTGGTGTTGGGATGTTCTCCCGTATACCAACAGTACTTAATGGGGATTATATACGGGTTTCTGTAGTCCATATTCAGGACTGCTAGTCCCAAAGTGGGTGGTTTTAGCGGCACAATTCACACGGACCCAACCGGATAACTAGAAGACCTGTCTAATGAAATTGCACGGGCTTCTCTGATCGATTTAGGATGTGGGGCTTCGCCTGAGCCACAAACACTGTGCGGTCCAGACTGTTCAGAGTCTATAAGTGTGGATACTGCTGGAAGTAGTTGTTGCAATGGTACCCTATTGCCATTTTTGGTCTATGGGTCGCCTTTGAAATGGAACTAACACCAAAAAGGGTGCCCTTATGATAATATAGCTTTTGGGCTACTGAGATAGAGGCTTTGTAACCCTAAACCCTAAACCGAAGGTGTTGACAGGGCTACCCTCGAGCACGAAGAGCCGCCACCTATACAAGCAAGAGATGCTCGAAAAGCACGGAGGATGTGACATGCATTTCAGAAATGCCATCTTGTAAAAAAAACCATATACATACAGTGGAATGCCTTACTCCGAGCTTCTTCCCCGAAACCTAAACCCTAAACCCCAAACCCTAAACCCTAAACCCTCGAGCCAAAAAGAAAAGAGTCGTCTTGCAGGACTTGCTTCAAGTCTTCCGGGAGTCACCGGGGCACCAGAGGCTGTGGCGAAGTTCCGAGGCCACCACACTGATTCAGGGGCGTAGGGTTTAGGGTTTAGGGTTGAGGGTTGAGGGTTTAGGGTTTAGAGGACCCAGAGTAGTAGGCCCTTATTCCCTTTTTTCGGGCTTAGGTTCTCTTGGAAGCCCTTCAAACCCACAAAGTGCACCCTTTGTATTCCTAGGCGGTTACCCTTGGGTCTATTTAGGGATGTATTTGTAATCGAAGGGTAGTTCCATGGCCCCTTAGTATGAGCCCTTAAATGGGCACACCTTTGTTTAGCCCTCAGGTACCTTATAAACCCGGGAGCCCATACGTCAGAACCCTTGAAAGAAGGTAAGGGACCATCATGTTAACCTCATATTTATACGCACCCCGCAATTAAGGAATCCCTATCCCGGAACTCAGTTATAACCCCCCCCCCCTCAATTATATGGAATCCCGGCCCGAAAGCCAATTTTTTTCTATGGGCCCTTTTGGGTAGGTCAGGGCTCCTCAATACAGGGGGGGAAACAAAAATCAATTGAGACGGGGGGAGGTGGGTTATTAACGCGAGGTCAACATGATTAAGGGACCACGCAACGGCCCTCAGACGTAAAGACCCGAAACTCGTAAAGACCCGAAACTCGAATCCTACCCTTGGCAACTCTTCATGTGTGCGGTGGCTCGGAAACGCTAAAAGCCCTAAAGCTGTTGGTTTCAGTCGAGCTACACCTAAACCCGAAAGCCGTGCAAACCTCTGCCTCGAGGCCAAAGACTTTCTGCGATTCCTTCTTGCAGCAGAGCCCGAGGCCCTCAGCGACGGTTCAGGGTAAAGGCCGGGTAAAGGGTTTCAAGGGTTTAGGGTTTCTGGTAGTCTAAGGGTAGTAGTGTACGAGGGCATGAGGGGCCATTAGGGTATTTAGTTTTTTTGGGGGGATGAGGATATCACCGTAGAGTTTAGGCTTCGTTCTTGGTTACGCGGAGACTCCCATACCACCTCGTGTTTGTGTGATAAACCCCCAAACCCAAAACCCTACTGAAACGTGGGCTGACCCAAGCTGTTGAGGGGGTATAGGGTTACGGGGATTCTTATAGGGTTTTCCGAGGTAGTTTGGCGCAGACCCATTTGTTAGGGTCAAAATGCTGAAGGACGCATCCAAGTTGCTCTCAACAGCTTGGAGGTCCGCACGTTTTTGTTTGCAGTTACCTTTTACCTTACCTCTGAAGACTATAAACCCCCAACCCTGACACCTGCCCGAAAAGCCCCATACCCCTCAATGAAGGAATATATCTTAAACCATACAAATGGCCCTGTACAGCTTCAGGCATACTCCTTAGTTGAGGGGTAAGGGGCCCTCTGGGTGCAACCCGAACGCCCCACCCTTCCATGGGGTTGAGGGCTTAGGGTTTGGGGCATGCTCCCTAAACCCAAAACCCTGCACCCTAAACCCTAAACCCTAAACCCTAAACCCTAAACCCTAAACCCTAAACCCTAAACCCTAAACCCTAAACCCTAAACCCTATACCCTACCTAAACCCTAGACCCTAAACCCTAAACCCTATGTGGGTGGGAGCGGGTCGGGGGGTTGTGGGCATTTTGCCCCGAGACAGGACCGGCCCACGGCAGCACAGGCCGGCTTTGGGGTTAGGGTTTGTAGGATTTAGGGCTTATAGGGTTTAGGGTTTAGGGTGTAGGGTTTAGGGCTAGGGAGCATCGACAGGGAGGGCTCGGGCTTGGGGGTGTGGGGGGCTGTTCGGGTTTAGGGGTTCGAAAATGAACCTCTCCAAGTAGACGGGCAGGGGTGCGAGGCGTGGGTTAAGATTGGTGGAGATTAGGGCATTTGGGGGTTGAGGGCTTCGAACTTCAGAGCGCAAACCAACAGTCAGTTTGGAGTCCAAAGTTTGGAGCCCTTTTAGGTTTAGGGTTTAGGGGTTGTGGTTTAGCTTTAAGGGTTCACAGCATTAAGTTCTGAGCGGTTTTGAACCCTAATTCGGGGAATCCTGAACCCCGATACGCTAAGGAACTCATGCGCATGGGGGGATTCGGTAAACTCTGAGCCCGTTTTGGGATATCCTATATATACCCAAGAGCCCAATACCCCTTAAATAAGGAATTCTCCTCAAATCATACGAAGGGCTCTTTGGGTAAGGCTTCGTGCCCTGATAGGAACCCAATAAGGAAGGTTGCAAGTGTGGTTTCCATATGTGCAGCCTAAACCCTAAACCCTGAACAAATGAACCTCTACAGAAAACTACCCCCGAACCTCCAAGTAAAGCTTAAGAACCCTCCAAAAACATATTCTTCCTTATAATAAATTTGGGGGGCAATCTTTTGATTACTATTCTTCATTTTTGGGTATCTGCTTCCTTGTAAAAAATGCGGGCAGTATAGGTATTTTGCTATTCTTGATTTTTGGGTGGGTCTTAAGCAAATAGAAGCCCTATATTGCCCCAACATTCTGAGGAAGACTTACAAGAATTTATTGATGTTTCTGTGTTTTTGTTGGGGGGTCTTAAGCAAGTGGTAGCAGCTGAGGCCCTGGAGCACCCTTGGCTGCAACGCCACCGCCCGGTGCCAGAGCCGATTGCACCGGCTCGGGGCTCAGCGCTTCGTCTCTTGGTGCTTTGGGGATTTTGGGAGGGTTTAGGGTAGAGGGTTTAGGGTTTAGGGTTTAGGGTTTGGGGATTGGGGTTTAGGGTTTAGGGTTTAAGGAGAAGGGTTCAGGGTTTCGGGTTTCGGGAGAGGGGTTTAGGGTTTGGGGGCGGCCTCAGGCCGCGAGCTCCGCCTGCGAAAGAACAGCTAAATCGACATAGAGGTCGGGCAATCTTCCTGCAGAGAGTAGAGCTTCTCAGAGCTTGCAGAGTATTCCTTAGGATGTTCCCCCTGAGACTGACAGTCTGGAGTCTTGAGTAGGGATTAGAGTACCCCCTGGCAGAATCCCGTTTCAGAACGGCTAGTATACAGAGGAACACTCCAACAAGTCTCCAACATGCTCCAAAACTGTCCTCTAGCCTTCGGCCAACAAGAACACCTCATTCCAACCATGCGAGAGATGGACATCAATCCCGTTTACGCCGGCAGAAAATTCCTCAGGTCGCGCCCAACACCCTTTACTAAGGACTACGCCTTGTACTTCATAGTCAGAACTCCATGTAGTTTAAGGTGTCTTGGTTGATCACGGGGTTCTAGAATTTCTGGGAGTCCAGAGTTTCAGCTGCCCTGAACCCCCAGACCTCACAAAGGCTTCCCATTTAAACCCGGCAACCCCTAATCCCTAAACCCTAAACCCTAAACTCTAGACCCTTCATTGCCCTATAGGAGCGGTCATTTTAGAACCCTAAGCCCTCAACCGCAGCTGCTCTGAGAGCGCTCCAGGAGATGTTGCGGACCTTCGCCGGCTTCGCCGAGGTTGTTCATCCCCTCCCCCAAATAATGGGGGTTTAGGGTCTAGGGTTTAGGATTTAGGGTTCAGGGTTTAAGCAAAAGGGTTGCCGATATTTTTGGGGTACCTGATTGGGGTCCTTACCTTCAAGGGGGTACCTGATTGGGGTCCTTACCTTTAAGGGAGTTCTACTATTTGGGGTGTATATTATTGCGGTCCCTTATTTTCGTAAACCCCCATACTAAACCCACCCCTATACCCCCGAATATCAAATAGAATACGCTAAAGCCCTAAACCCCCAAAGAGCCCAACACCCCTTGATAAAGGAATATACCTTAGACCATACAGGGGCCTTTATGATGATTTAGGGGCTTGCCTCTTCCTTGGTATTGGGCTCTTCGGGCCCTTCACCCGTTCGGAAGATTTGTGTAGCACCCTAAACCCAAAACCCTAACACTACACAATTAAACCCAAAACCCAAAACCCTCAACCCCAAACCCTAAACCCTAAACCATCGTGTAACCTGTTTGTGATTCTTGCAATGGATTTGTGCAACGGCGCTGGAGTCCCTCCCCCCCAAAGCATGCAATCCGATAGCATTGTCCTACCATGAATGCCCTCTGGGCGATATCCCCTGTGGCCTTTGCACTGCCCGGGGGTGACAGTTCTTCTTTTTTTCATTTCCGACCTTGTACCCCGCATTGCCGCGGCTAGTCGGGTGGCAACAAAAACCCTAAGTTCTAAACATCTGGGTAGCCGAAGGCCCCGCAGATGCATCGGAGCTGCCTCTTCGCTCTGGCCGCCAAGGGGCGGCACGGCGAGCTCCTCGCCCTGCAACTCGGGTCTTCGCGCTTCGAACCAGGGTTTAGGGTTTAGGGTTTAGGGCTAGGGTTCAGGGTTTAGGGTTTAGGGTTTCGGCTTTAGGGTTTAGGGTTTAGGGTTTAGGTTTTCGGGTTTAGGGTGCAGGGTTCAGGCTTGAAGGCGGTTTGGGGTTCAGGGCTTTCGGCGCTGTACCCGGTTTGGGCTTGAGAGTGCAGGTGCAGGATCATACATTGTTGGGGTTTGGGGTTTAGAGTGTAGGGCTTACCCTGAGAGCCCAAGACCTGAGCGTTGTTTGTTAGTACTTTAGTTTGGGGTTTTTGGGTAGGCCCCAAACCCTGAAAAACCCTTTCTGGGATTCTTGGGGAACCTACCAAAATCGAACAGTCGCTCGGACCCAGAGTGGGCCCTTATTCCCTTTTTTCGGGTTTTAGGTTCCATTACAAGCCCTTAAAGCTAAAAAGGGTACCCTTCTTCATTCCCAGGTTACTCCTGTCTAGGATTTAGGGTTTAGGATTTAGGTTTATATAGGGTTTAGGGTTTAGGGTTTAGGGGTTTCTGAGCGGACGAAAGGCTGGACACGGAAGTGGTTGAAGCGACCTTTGCCGACATCGACCGGGACCACGACGGAAAGATCTCCCTTCAGGACGGCTGGTAGCTACTTTTGGGGTCGGAATAAGTACCAATAATCTTCCCTTTAGGGTTTAGGGTTTAGGGTTTAGGGTTTGGGGTTTACGGTTTAGGGTTTAGGGTAGTGCAGAGCCTGGGTTCAAAAGGGGTTTAGGGTATTCCATTATGGCCCCTTTGTATACGGTAATAACCCCCAAAACCATATTCTACTTATGCAGGCCCCTATACTTGAGGCCTCCTGTACCCAAGCGGGGTAGCCCAGTGGTACCCTTTTCCCTTCTTTCGGTTCAAGGTTCCCTTAAAAAAGTAGCTAACCCCAAAAAGTGTACCCTTACTAGTTTTTGGTTTCCAGGTCTTGAATAAGGACCTGAGGACTGAAGGGCTTGAGAGCTTCAGGGTTTTGAGGCTTACTTGGAGGTTCATGGGACTTAATAACCACTTATAGCTGGGCTTATAACCCTACTTATAATTGAGATAACCCTTATAAGGCCCTTTAGGGGCTTTATAAGTAGGGTTATAAGTACAGTTATAATTGGTTAGTAAGTACTATGAACATCCAAGTAGGGCTTAGGAGCTTGAGTTTTTTTGTTTACGGCTCCAGGGCGTTTACGGTTTTGAGCCTCAGCTCGACATAGAATTGTGGCGTTTCTAGGCCCTAAACCCTAAACGCTAAACCCGATTTTGGGAAGTAACCCTAGAAACCCGAGAGCTGGAGGTCCATGGGTAGTTGGCCAGTAGGGGTACAAGTAGCCCTACTTCTAACTACCCATGGACCTCCAAGTAAGCCCTCAACTCAAACCCTCAACTCTCAACCCTAAACCCTAAACCCTAAACCCTAACCCTAAACCCTAAACCCTAAATGTGCAAGGACCTCCAGGCTGCCAGCCAGGCTCGGCTCTCAGCACACAGTCGCTGGCAACCGTAAACCCTAGACCCTAGACCCTAGACCCTAGACCCTAGACCCTAAACCCTAAACCCTAAACCCTAAACCCTAAACCCTAAACCCTAAACCCTAAACCCTAAACCCTAAACCCTGCATCGCAAAACCCCTCAACCCCTAGAACCCCTAGGTCTTGGGCGCAACGGGGGAAGAAAGCCCTTGCATGCTCTGATCTGCGGGCTGCTGTATCCTTTCTCTACCAAGGGAGCCCAAAACCCTTCAATTAAGGAATATCCCTTAATTAAGCTACATCGTGATCCTTGGTATGACTTATAGTCTATTTCTTGGTTCAGGGGTGTCAAGGGCTCTGGGAAAAACAGAGCCCGTAGATCTGGAAGCCCCGCATGCGAGTCCCAAAATCCTTGCGTGCGAGCACTGGAAGCCCCCTCAAACAGAAACCGAGCGCCCTCAAAACCTACTCTAAGTAACCTCTAACCTCTAAAATGTACCCTTCAACCCCGAACCCCAAGCCGTGAAGTCTGAAGTCTAAACCCTAAGCCCTACACCCTCCCCCCCCAAGGCGGGCAAGTGGTGGCCTTGGCGACAAGAGCCAGAGGCGAAGGGCTCAGGGCTCAGGGCTTACAGTTTATGAGTACCTGCCCCTCAATTAGTAGGTAGAACCCGCGAAGCTGTAGGTAAAGAGGGTCCGAGGTAGGGTTCTCCAGGTGGGGCTTTGGGGAGTCTGTACTCAAAAAGGATGCTCTTTACCATTTTTTCAGCTCATGACAGCTTAGTGCAGCTTAGGGTATACAGGGTGTACACAAGGGTTCCCCAATTAAGGGCCCATATTCAGGGACCATGAAACTGCCGTAAGGAACGTACCACAAGTTCATGTTGAGGAGCCCTTTCTACTTTTCTATTTCGGATCTCCCTGCGGGGTTTCCTTTCTGCTTCTCAGTAGGGAATGAGTGGAAGTACGTACGCTTTAGAGAAACCCTGAAAGCGTAGATATGTGTGGATATATATATATATATGTGATATATATATATATATGTATGTATATATATATACTATACATGTATAGATCTAACTTCCTAGGCTCCCTTGGCAGCAGGTGGACATTGAAGCCTTCTTCCGCCTGGCGGATCAGGACTTCGTAGGGTTCTTGAGGGAGGGGGGTCAAGGGGGGTATGTAACCCAGCGTGCCCTAGTGCTCCTTACTACTCCCTACGGCTCCCTAAGCTTCCCTAAGGTTCAGTAGGTACCTACCCACCCCTAAACCCTAAACCATAAACCCTAAACCCTAAACCCTAAACCCTAAACCTCCCTGAAGAACCCTATAAGGAGACGGCTGACTTGACATGCTGTTTTGGCAAGGATGGCTGTGGCTACCTTGGGTACACCGAGTTTCTGGCAGCCTGCCTGTTCCAGGCAAGGATGGTTGGGGTTTAGGGTTTAGGGTTTAGGGTTTAGGGTTTAGGGTTTAGGGTTTAGGGTTTAGGGTTTAGGGTTTAGGGTTGGGGGCTTAGGGTTTGGGGTTTAGGGTCTAGGGTCTAGGGTCTATAGGGTCTATAGGGTCTATAGGGTCTATAGGGTCTAGAGGGTCTATAGGGTCTATAGGGTTTAGGGTTTAGGGTTTAGGGTTTAGGGTTTAGGGTTTAGGGATGGTATGTATTTTGGTGTTCAAGGGTGGGTGTTGGAAGAACACAGGGCAGTCTGCAGGCTCAGGGTCCGAGGACTGCGGGTGGCTTTTGGTTGCTTCAAGGGACAATATTTTTTCTGGGTTTAGGGTTTCGGGTTTAGGGTTTAGGGTTTAAGAGGACCACATTTCCCTCATAAACCCTAAGCCCTATTTAGGGGTATTTTGTTCAGAGGGTTTTAAGGGGACCACTTTATGAAAGAGCCGTGGCTCCCGTTTCCGGCTGATCTGCGGGGCGGAGTCCCGAGAGAAAGTTCCCTGTAGAAAAGAGTTGAGAGTTAGCCTTGAGACCCCTGTTAGGGTTTAGGGTTTAGGGTTTAGGGTTTAGGGTTTAGGGTTTAGGGCCCCAAGGAAGAGGAACGGTTCCCAGTCACGCAATGGAAACCCAGAGAGCCGGGTTTAGGGTCTAGGGTTTAGGGCGTAGATCACTTGTAAGGTTCCGTATGGTTGAAGGGTATGCTAAGCACGGAAACGTTTGAGTTCTAGTACTGTATGCTGCTCGCGAGGTTCTCCGACGGGACAGCCGGTATCCGTCTTCAGCTCAAGCACTATAGGTTCGGATTTTGACTTGACACCTGCCGAGCTCGAAAGCTCCGACGAGCCATGGCGGAGACGTTTGCATTCAACGCAGACATCCAGCAGTTGATGAGCTTGATCATCAACACATTCTACTCCAACAAGGAGATCTTCCTGCGTGAGCTCATCTCCAACGCCTCGGACGCTCTGGACAAGATTCGCTACGAATCCATCACCGACCCAGACAAGATCGAGGCGCAGCCGAACTTCTTCATCAAGATCATCCCGGACAAGACCAATTCGACCTTGACCATCGAAGACTCCGGCATCGGCATGACGAAGAACGAGCTCATCAACAATCTCGGCACGATCGCCAAGTCTGGCACCAAGGCCTTCATGGAGGCTATGGCGGCAGGCGGCGACATCTCCATGATCGGGCAGTTCGGCGTCGGCTTCTACAGCGCGTACCTCGTCTCGGACAAGGTCCGTGTGGTCAGCAAGCACAACGACGACGAGCAGTACATCTGGGAGAGCGGCGCCGGCGGCTCTTTCACGGTCCAGAAGGACACGGAGCTGGTGCACGGCGAGATCAAGCGAGGCACCAAGATCATCTGCTACCTCAAGGAAGACCAGTCTGAGTTCCTGGAGGAGCGACGTCTGAAGGACCTGGTGAAGAAGCACTCCGAGTTCATTGGCTTCCCCATCGAGCTGTACGTGGAGAAGTCCAAGGAGAAGGAGGTGACCGACTCCGAGGAGGAGGAGGAAGAGAAGAAGGAGGAGAAAGAAGGCGATGAGCCGAAGATCGAGGAAGTAGATGAGGAGAAGGAGAAGGAGGAGAAGAAGAAGAAGACCAAGAAGGTGAAGGAGGTCTCGCACGAATGGGAGCAGTTGAACAAGAACAAGCCCCTGTGGATGCGCAAGTCTGAGGACGTGACCAACGAGGAGTACGCCTCCTTCTACAAGTCGCTCTCCAACGACTGGGAGGACCACCTCGCCGTGAAGCACTTCAGCGTCGAGGGCCAGTTGGAGTTCCGGGCTCTGCTGTTCGTTCCCCGCCGCGCGCCCTTCGACCTTTTCGAGACCAAGAAGAAGCGCAACAACATCAAGCTGTACGTGCGCCGCGTCTTCATCATGGACGACTGCGAGGAGCTCATGCCTGAGTGGCTGAACTTCGTGAAGGGCGTGGTGGACTCGGAGGATTTGCCTCTGAACATCTCCCGCGAGACCCTGCAGCAGAACAAGATCCTGCGAGTCATCAAGAAGAATCTCGTGAAGAAGTGCCTCGAGATGTTTGCAGAGATCGCCGAGAAGAAGGACGACTACAAGAAGTTCTATGAGCAGTTTGGCAAGTGCCTCAAGCTGGGCGTCCACGAGGACTCCACCAACCGCACTAAGCTGGCCGAGCTCCTCCGCTACCACACCTCCAAGTCTGGTGACGAACAGATCAGCCTGAAGGAGTACGTCGACCGCATGAAGGAGGGTCAGAACGACATCTACTACATCACAGGCGAGAGCATTGCGGCCGTGTCCTCATCTCCCTTCCTGGAGACCCTGCGCAAGAAGGGCATCGAGGTGCTGTACATGATCGACCCCGTCGACGAGTACTCAGTGCAGCAGCTGAAGGAGTTCGATGGCAAGAAGTTGAAGAGCACAACTAAGGAAGGTTTGGACATCGAGGACGAGGATGAGAAGAAGAAGCTGGAGGAGATGAAGGCGGAGTTCGAGCCCCTCACGAAGCTCATGAAGGAGGTGTTGGGGGACAAGGCGGGAGATGATAAGCATAACTCGCGGCATTGTGTGTGTGTGTGTGTGTGTGTGTGTGTGTGTGTGTGTGTGTGGGTTTGACGCATCTGTGCATGAGGGCAAGGGACACGCAAATTACGACGCCAGATGCTTAAGCCGCATGCGCAGGTGGAGAAGGTCATCGTCAGCTCTAGGATGGCCGACTCCCCTTGCGTGCTGACCACCTCCGAGTATGGCTGGTCAGCCAACATGGAGCGCATCATGAAGGCGCAGGCCCTGCGTGACAACTCCATGACTTCCTACATGGTCTCTAAGAAGACCATGGAGGTGAATCCCAAGCACTCCATCATGGCGGAGCTGAAGAAGAAGGCCGCGGCCGACAAGTCTGACAAGACCGTCAAGGACCTGATCTGGCTCCTCTTCGACACCTCGCTGCTCACCTCTGGCTTCAACCTCGATGAGCCAACGCAGTTCGCCGGCCGCATCCACCGGATGATCAAGCTCGGCCTCAGCATCGACGATGACGATGAGGGCCTGGGTGATGACGACGACCTGCCCCCGCTTGAGGAAGTCGAGGGCGCGGCCGATGAGGCCTCCAAGATGGAGGAAGTCGACTAGGATGTTCGAGCCATCCGGTAGGTACTCGTACCAGTGCAAGCAACAGAACCCCATAGCAGATGCCAGAAGGCCGATTGTACAGACAGCCAAATCTGGAAAAGACCTCGGGCAAGCGACTGTCTGATCAACGAGGGAAAAAGAAGCCTGCTCGAGTATTTGCCTGGCTGAAGCATAAATCCTCGCCTTGTCCATCTGACTTTGAGACCAGCTGTAGTTAGTAGTAGGTGTGGTACCCTAAGCCGTAAACACTAAACCCTAAAGTGGGTTTGCCATGGGCCTTGCGGACAGTGCGTCGGAACTGCCCAAAATCTGGGGTCATACCTGAAGGACCGTAGGTTTGGGGTTTAGAGGCTTCCCAAACCCGAAACCCTAAACCCTAAACCCTAAACCCTAAACCCTAAACCCTAAACCCTAAACCCTAAACCCTAAACCCTAAACCCTAAACCCTGCAAAAGGGTTTCGGCCCAAAAAGTGTAGGGTTTCGGGGGGCTCGCTGGGTCTCCGGCGAGGTCTACGGCAGCTTTGATGTGCCAAGCTCAGAGATGGGTTGGGTTTAGAGTTTAGGGTTTAGGGTTTAGGGTTTTGGGTTTAGGGTCTAGGGTCTAGGGGTTAGGGTTTAGGGTTTAGGGTTTAGGGGCCTACATGCCATGGTTGCTGAGCAGTGCATGCTGTGCTGCCTTGTATGATACCAGCCCATGGAAGGAGCATCGTTGAGTGTCTTCGTGGTTCGATTTCGCCGAGGGGCCCTAAACTTTGTCATAGTTGGGTACCATTTTACAATTTTAAGGATACTTAAACCCAATAAGGAATATATACATTCAAATTTTTAATATTCTCCCAACTATGAACTAGTAAACCCTACACCATAGACGCCAGAGACTCCAGTGCCTCTCAATTAAGGATATTCCTTCAACCATATAAGGAATCCTCTTATGAATTCCTTCATGAAGCTTTGGGGACCCCTCTTTTGAATTCCGTAATTAAGGCGCATTGAAGTTTTTCGGACCCCGGAGTGTTCTTGACTTTGCGGATCTGCGGGCATCTAGGAACACAGCACGGGCCCCAGTACTGACAAGCAGCTTCCTGGATCAAAAAGAGTTTCAGGCTCCAGAAGCTTGGCGTGGACGCAGGGTTTAGGGTTTAGGGTTTAGGGTTTCTAAGCCTTAGACCTCAAGACCTTTGAGGCCAGCTTGGTTAACGATGTCTTCGACACCCTGGACCACGACCGAAATGGCCTGCTGAAGGCAGTTTATGGGGTTTAGGGCTAAGGAAAAGACTTGACTTAACTAAAGAGTTTGGGGAGGGGCGGAGGGAGGTTGGGGTTAAGGATCATGCTTAATTAAGGAGTTTAAGTTTTGGTTGTGGGTGTTAAGGAATGTATATACATACATATTTTCTTATATGTCTATGTGTACACTTAATTAATTTTAAGGAGGCACTTCAGCAAGGAGTTGGAGGACGAATCCTTCCATCCCCCCCTCCCCCCCTCCCTGCCCCCCCCCCCCTGAACATTCGGAGCTGATTTTCTCCCCCTTTTAAGCGGTTTCGGGATCTATATGATAATGGGAACGAGGTGTTGTGAATTTAGATCAAGATAGTGAGGCCCGGCAATCGATTTAAAGGCGACGCCGGACGAAATTGTCTTACGATGCACGGAAGACTTCGACTTGGTTGCGGAACCCGCCTAAACCCTAAACCTTAAACCCTAAGCCCTAAACCCTAAACCACCCTAGACCACCAAACAATCTCACGACCCTGCATATCTGGGCAAGCTTGACTTACTTCAGGGGCCCCTACGGGCACAACGTTCAGGGGTATTGGGACTGCTGTGTCCCGCTTCAGCAACTAGGGAAGGAAGACTTTCTATTGTTTTGAAGACAGGTTCATGGCCCTAAACCCTAAACCCTAATTAAACCCTAAACCCTAAACCCCTATGCATCGGTCCCTTAAGCCCTGATTGGATGGTAGATGTAATTGGCTAGGACCCAGAGTAGGCCCTCATTCCCTTTTTGTTTGCGTTTAGGTTCTGTTTTTAGCCCCTTTACACCAAAAAGGGTACCTTATTCCGGGTTACTTTTGGGTCTAGTTAGGGGGTATGGGGCTCTCTGGTACCCTAAACCCTAAGCCCTTAACCACTTGGAGCAGAACAGGCAGACGAGGTCAAGCACGCTTTTCGGCACTACCCTTCAGGACCCAGTGCTGGAGGTAGGGACTTAACGGATTTAGGGTTTAGGGTTTAGGGTTTAGGGTTTAGGGTTTAGGGTTTAGGGTTTAGGGCGAAGCAGGCAGTGGTGAGGAGTCCTGTGCTGCAAAAAGGGCTCAGGGCTTTCAAAAGTTTTGGCCAAATCCATCGGAGCGCGCTTATGGCGATGCGTGGCCTTACAGCAACACCCTGAACCCTAAACCCTAAACCCTAAACCCTAAACCCTAAACCCTAAACCCTAAACCCTAAACCCTACTTGGAGGTTCATGGTACTTACTAACCAAATATAACTGTACTTAGAACCCTACTTATAATACCCCTGAAGGGCCTTATAGGGGTTATCCCAATCATGAGTAAGGTTAAAAGCCCAGTTATAAGTGATTATGAAGTCCCATGAACCTCCAAGTAAACCCGTAATCCTGAACCCTAAACCCTAAACCCTAAACCCTAAACCCTAAACCCTAAACCCTAAACCCTAAACCCTAAACCCTAAACCCCTGAGATCCCTAAGGTGTACATCCAGCTGTTGACATACAACCATCCTAGACTTGCTCGGTCCGAGCTCCCCTTTCCCAACCGTAGGAGTCGTAGCAAAGCCCACTTGCATGAAAGATTGAACCCTAAACCCTAAACCCTAAACCCTAAACCCTAAACCCTAAATTTTAAACCCTAAACCCTAAACCTTACTCGCCCCCGAGCCTTAAGCCTTGAACCCTTCAACATTCACAGGGAGGGTTTTTGACAGGAACTTCACTTCTGGGCCTAAAAAACCCGAAATCCCCACGTTGCTCAGCCACTCCAACTCCCCTTGGTGAAGAAAAGTATGCTCCAAGCTCGTTGTTGGGCGTCTGTCACATGTCAAGGAGCTTCCCGTTTCTGAAGGGGTGATGGGGATTAGGGTTTAGGGTTTAAGGTTTGGGGGTGGAGTCTGCTGGCGCCTTCGAGGCCCTACCCACCAGGATAGCCTCGAAAGACAAACTAGGGTGTAGGGTTGAGGGTTCAGGGTTCAGGGTTCAGGGTTCAGGTTTAGGTTTAGGGTTTAGGGTTTAGGGTTCCTTACATGGTTTAAGGAGTATTGGACTGTGCGAGGACTGCCGAAGTACTGCAATTTCAAGCGAGATGAGTGGCGCGACTGTCTGTATCGCGAGGCGGGAGGTCAAGTGTCAGGCGTTTTGAAGGCCCTACACCCGAAAACCCCTCAAACCCCTAAACCTGTTTAGGGCCTCAGGGATGGGGCTTGCACCATAATCACCCCCAAAACCCTTTTCTCATTTTTAACGCCCTTACACTAGTTTATGAGGTGACAGCCCATGGATCATCTCGAAACCAAGGTCAAGCATTTAATAGTCTCTAGTTAGGCCTAAACCCTAAACCCTAAACCCTAAACCCTAAACCCTAAACCCTAAACCCTAAAGGGCGTATCGCGCCGCAACCCTAAGCATCCCATATGGCTGAACAGATGCCCTCATTCTGAGTGGAGGCCTCCATGCATCCCGATCCCTAAGCCCTAAGCCCTAAACCCTAAACCCTAAACCCTAAACCCTAAACCCTAAACCCTAAACCCTAAACCCTAAACCCTAAACCCTAAACCCTAAACCCTAAACCCGATCCCTAAACCCTGGGCTGTGGGTGCACTCCTAGCCCGGCACCAGGTAGAAGAGGAATACGCAAGGACCGCGGCTGCTTTTGTGGGTGACGGGCTGCGGACTTAGTGGGGTGATGGGCTGCAGACTTAGTGCTTGTATGGTTTAGGGCGTGGTTGTATCGAGGCGAGTAAGGGAGACAATGTGGGAGGGGCGGGGTGCCATACTTATATCCCTACTTCAACATGAGCTTCCATGTGATTTCTACTACATCAGGGTTCTCATACGGGCTCGAACTGAAAGCTTACATAGCCCCACATTAAATTGCCTGTCGCAAGGGCCACTCCCTTCGTTCCTGAAGAAACGAGCCCAGATGCAGAAAGGGCTCAGGGTTTAGGGTTTAGGGTTCCTTGAACAGTGAGCCGCAGCCACCCGTTACGCCCAGATTTGGGATGTCCCCCCTTATACTAACAGTCCTTGCAGGGATTCTAATGAGGGGGGTACTCGAAGCCCCATAAAGGACTGTTAGTATAAGGAGGAACATCCCAAGCCCGGATGGTCGTTGGCAGAGTGAAGCACATAGTGCGATGAGGAAGCGGCAGAGCCATTGCAGCGCCACACGGACTTAGGGCTTAGGGTTTAGGGTTTAGGGTTTAGGAACGTTGCGGAACCTGGACGATGTACTTGGAGGTTCAATAACCACTTATGACTGGGCTTTAATTTAACCCTACTGACAATTGGGATAACCCCTTATACTGCGCCGGGCCGATAGTTCGACCCACCAACATCTTGGGGTTCTTACACCCATACCCCGCCCTCTTCCCCATAGACTCCTGACACAATGGGACTGGCGCAGCATGCGTTCGGGGAGCACTGGTCTTGCCCAAACTTCAAAAAGGTGGCATCTTTTTGAAGCAAACTCTGGCCACCAAAACGCATGCTGCCTTCCGTAAGCACTTTTTGAAGCAGACTCTGGCCACCAAAACGCGTCCATAAGCACTTTTTCAAGCAGACTCTGGCCACCAAAACGCATGCTGCTGTCAGTAAGCACTTTTGAAGCAGACTCTGGCGACCAAAACGCATGCTGCCTTCTGGAAGCACTTTTTGAAGCAGACTCTAGCCACAAAAACGCATGCTCTGCGCGATGCCGACGCCGGCCAGGTCCTGGACGCTAGATTTTTTAGTGGAAACGGCCTTGTGAGGAGCATGACCAG